GTTTAAAGTTTAATTTAAAGGAATCAGTTATCAGTCTTTCATGGATTCGAATTTATTGGCCTCTATAATTAACCGATCTACAACTTATACAATTTTCGATGCATATTTAAAAGCAACGAGATTTGAAGACAAGCCTTATAGAAGCAGACAATATTACAAGTGGAAGGTTATTGCAGATAGTACGGGGCAAAGATGGCTTACCCGCTTGATTTCTTTGCTGGATGTTTGGGAGGTAAAGTTTTGTATATATACAAATTAAATTACTGATTTAAATATATTTTTTGAAACCTTAATTATGTTTTTTTTTAAGCGTTTTGATATAATTTATATTATTACAATTATTTACTGTTTTTAAAATTTGTCGTTTGCTTGATAAAAATGTGCAGTTAGTAATGGAAGTTCATCATTCACTTTTCATATAATATTTATAAGTTGTTTAAATAAAAAGATTCAATTGTGTTAATGGAAGTTAAAGTTATTTGTTTTCTATACAAGGTTCGAGAATTACGCTAATTAGATTTAACATTTTCCCGTGGAACACCCTGTATAATTTGTACTTGAGTTAAAAAATGATCAATAATAAGAAACAATTATATTATCATATGACTTGATTATCATAGATAAATCAAGACTAACACATTTATGCGCATTTCCACCAATGTGTAGTTTAACCTTAATCTCGGTTTAATTTACTTTTCGTCTTTTTCTAATCTTTTGAACTAGAAAAAGATGAAGAGTAACTTAAACCGAGATTAAGGTTAAACTACACGTTGGTGGAAACGGGCATTAGAAAACTTTATAATTTTCTGTTTTAACAAACTGACGCAATTAACAAATCTGCTAATTCATATCAGTTTACGCTTTAACTTGTTATAACATTAGAACAACAAGTTATATCTTTAAAAAAATCTATTGCCAAATCATTCAATCTTTTTATTGCATTAAGCAAGTTTCAATAAATACAAAAAATACAATACAGCAATCCAGGCAACATTAATGAGTAAAAGACTTTATAAAGATGTCATAAAAACTTCTCTTAGACATCTCTGAAAGATAGAGTAAAGTCAATGGCTGCGTTCAGTAGAGAAAGCAATTTTGCAATTGTTGTAAAATTCTTGAATATAATTGGTTTATACGTTTAGATCCAATGAGGGACAAGGGCAAGACTAATCATATTGAAGAATTTTACGACTGTTGCAAAAAAGCTGCCTTTTCTGCTAAACGCAGCTAATATTTACGCCACATATACAGAAATCAGAAAAAAAGGAGTGAGAGATTTTTGCTGCATCTAAGTATTTTACTTACAACAAATATAGATTCCATCGTGTTGCGTATCGTTCCTGGCTGAGTCATCTTAGTGAAAAGTTTAATAACAAATGCAAATTGCTATTAATTTAAATTGTTAGTAACTTAAATTGTTAATAGTGTCTTAATATCTTATATCTTAACATTTGTAATATATGCAACAAATTAGACTAAGGTATTATCTATTATTTTATATATGTATATGTACATTTATTTTTTTAATTTTTTAATAAAACTTTGTAAACACATTTTATAAGTTATTGTGTCATTTTACTTCTTATTTATAAACATTATTTGTAATTTTTTATGAGTAATACATTTTCTTCATGAGTAGTTGTACTCCTATCCCTATGGGATGTATTATTTGAATTTCCAATCTTTTTTGTAGTAGTAACAGTATAAATATGTTATTGATATACGCACATTAATATATTTTATTTATCTTAAACATAGTAAATAATACTTGATAAATTAAGTTTTTGATATGTATAATAAATACGGCATATACATATACTTGAGTTACTCTATCTAAAGACGTCTTCGAGACATGCTTGTTATCTGGGAAACATATAATAAAATCTATCTTATAAATTTCAGGATGTGCCGGTATTATGGTGGGATATCCTTTGGATACGGTCAAGGTCCACATGCAGACTCAAGACTGCCGCAATCCAAAATATCGGGGTACCTGGGATTGTTTGCGAACCATACTCGCGAAAGAATCGGTAATTTATTACATTAAATTGGATTTAAAGTTTAGCCGTTTTTACATTTGTAGGTAAAACCTATTAATATTGTTATTTATATATTTTTGTGTAGGTGACTGGTCTTTATAAAGGAATGACTTCGCCAATCGCAGGGGTGGCTGTGGTAAACGCCATCGTCTTCGGTGTTTACGGATATACTCAACGGAACCTGTCTGAACCTGATCGATTGTCATCGTATTTCTTGGCTGGTGCATCTGCCGGATTTGCTCAAACTCCTGTTTCAAGTCCAATAGAGTTAGCAAAGACACGTCTGCAATTGCAATCCACGGGTCGAGGTAATTTTCAAGGACCAATGCAGTGCTTGAGGAACATCTATAGGCAGGATGGTTATCGTGGCGTCTTTAAGGGTCTAGGTATTACATTCCTTAGGGAAGGACCGAGTTATGGTATGTACTTCGTGACCTACGAGGTGCTAACCAAAACATCCTCGAAGCAACCGATCTCGACGTTTCATATGATGTTGGCCGGAGGATTTGCTGGTACAGCTTCTTGGGTGATTTCTTATCCTATCGATGTCATCAAGTCGCGTATACAAGCGGAAAGTAGTAATCGTTACTCGGGGGCTTTGGATTGTCTCAAGAAATCTGTACGCGCTGAAGGATATAGCTGCTTGTATCGAGGCTTGAATTCGACGATTCTTCGAGCGTTTCCGACGAACGCGGTGACTTTCGCTGTAGTTACATGGACGTTCCGATTATTTGGCGAACAACCAAATGAGGTATCGAAGAGGGAGGATGTCATATCAAGAACGATGCAAACGAAAAACCATACGACAAAAGGATATGAATCCTTCGCTAGTAAATGGAACGTATTCTTCGATAGTATTTCGAGAAGTAATGGTTTTGTTACTCCATCATACTCCGTCGGATCTATGTTGCCGATTAGCAGGCAACTAATGTCAGATAATAGTGCCTGCTTGGTCCACAACTACAGACAATCGGGTTGTAAGTACGAGAATGCGTTGAAGCAGAAGAGTATATCCGAGGGTTGGGAGGAGAGAAAAAGAAAGTCGAGAAACGATGAAGGAGTTGAGGAAGATGACTATGTTGACGAAAGAAAGGACTATGGCAACGTTAAGACAGTCATAAACACGTGTACTTGTAATCTGCAACACGTACTCGATGTCACAAATCTGGATAATATTTGATGTTACTGCAGTTGACGAAGTCTAGCACGTGACTTGTATTTTTAGTATAATATGTGTAAAAAAGGAATATAATATCTATTTAAATAGATTTTCCTTTTATAATTAATTTAATTAATGACGAATGCATATACATATCGCTCCCTTACCTAAAAAGTGACACAACAAAAAATATTATTTTTGAGTTATTACAATGAATAAGATAGATAAACATTATCCTATCAATCATCGAAAGTTAATTAATTTCATAAAAAAATATTAAAACGTCAAAAAGGATGGTTTTTTAAGGATTATGAAATGAACATGATACAAGAAATGAAGTTTAATCATGTTAAAAATATTTTTTTTTTGCAGGAATATATTATTTGATTATTCAATAACTTTCAAGTTAAAAAAAAATAATAATTCCTTTCTTCTAGGAAACTTATTCTTTGAGTTGTGTCATTTTTGAAATAAGGGAATGATATGCACATAAATATATGACAACGCATAGAATGGAGGAGTTCTTAGGTGGGATTTACAAACATAAAAAAAAGACATATTGATCTGCTGTCGACAATAAAACACCCATGAATGATACCGGTGTAATACTGGCAATTCTGTTTGTCGAATATCCATCAGGTATTAATAATACTATTTTACACTAATTGTTTGATATATATATCGAATATGTTTTAGCTTTATATTAGTACAGTACTAGTAGCGAATCTTGCCGCGGTTAAAGTTTAATTTTCCGTAAATGTAAACTATACAAAATAGAACACAAACATAAAAAGATGCAGTATTATGTATAAATAACTATTATGTTTTAATAAAATGATAATAAGGTGATGTTTTGAAGGTAGGCCCTCAAAATTGGGTTTCGAGATATTATAAAAGTAAATAAAATGTTAATTGACATATAATCTATTCATATAAACTAAAAAAAATTTCCTTTTCTACTTGTGCAAGAGTTCACAGGGCCCATATTCTGTAGACGTCTATCGACAGTTGTCGATATCGTTAAGTAGCGACAGCCAATGAGAACCGCGCTTTTTTCCTAGGATAGCCCTTGCCATTGGTTTTCGTTAGTTATCGACACCGACAACTGTCGATAGATGTGTACAGAATATGAATCCAGAATTGGCAATACAAAAATGAAAGTTTTTTGGAACTCTTAATATTTCTGAATCAGAAATGGAAAGGGATGGAAAAGATTTCATAATTCAGAGATTAAAAAAAATTATTTTTTAATCTCTCTGTCCTATCTGGGATAATACTGTTGAAAGCCATACTGATTCTACATTGCGTTAATTGATACTGAGCTAACAATGGCTAGCATATATTTAATATTAAAACAATACCGAATTTCTAATATAGATACGACGTTGACGATCAATACTGGATTAGATACATCGTTCCAATATTATGATAATGTTGAATCAATATTGACATATAGTAGCCTGCCAGTATTAAAATTCCGATATCCGATACTGGGCCACTTGTAAGTCTCAACCTAGGTAGCTTAATTGAAGTATGTTCTTACGTTAAGAATGTAAAGTTGCAGCTGAATTAAAGTTAGTAACTTGCTAGAAAAGTATGTATATCTTTAATTCAACAATTGAAGTAATTGAGTAAGCAAAGAAATGACTATAAATTTGAATGTAGGTGTATTATATATGTATATATATTTGATATACTTGGGCATAGACGCTTATATTATAATTAATGAAATTTGTAAAATGTGTTTTAATCTTCTTTCTATTGTTTTATTATAGCTGCTTGATTTAATCGATATATTAAGACTGACATGCTTTATAAATTTTTATAATTTCTATTGATTTGTATCCTTAAAATGAGTTAACACAATTTATACTTGCACAAGCTCGCTATGAAGCAGGAATAGAAGGATCTCTTTTGTCAAGCAGCAGTCTTTGATTGATTGGCGGACATGTAAGACCACATGTCACTGCCAGCGCGATATTTATTCGCTTTTAAAATCATTACAAAATAGTTTGTATTTCTCTTACAATCCCCTTACCGATCTCATTCCTCCTTCACACTCTTCTGCATTTCTTCAGTCTACGAATTGGTCTTCAATCCTCCCCCGCCCACGTGTCAAAATTTTGACACATTCCAAATTCTCAGCACATATGAACACACACGGCAGTACCTTTCAACCATTGCTAATTGTTCTCAGCAATTGATCGCAAATAAGACTTTGTTGTAACCACGTTTTTATTCCAAATCAAAAAATTATCAAGTTTTAAACTGTTGCCACTAAATCTACATCACGATCAATACAATTTGTTAACCTCCTGCGCGATTGCTCTAAATTTTTAGGAAACATTCTTACTGGGTAAGTATGCAAGCTAAATTAATAAATATAGGATAAAATTTTTGAAAAAGCGTTTTAATATAGACAAATTTTGAAGTAGTTTAAATGTATTTATATTTATAATATTGTACTTGTATATTTAACCAATACAATTTAGTAATTTATTAATAATTTATTGAGTAATATATCTTCCTATATTATTTTACTTCCGACATTAGCATAAAATTTCAAATTTTTAGTAAGATAATTTAATTTTAATTATAAAATTTCTGGCCTTTTTATATCTATCGCAATATTGCAATACATCTTATATTTAATATTTACTAGCTGTTTTTTCATAGGTTCCTCTTGAAGAAATCAATTAATTTAATTAAACTATTTAAATGTTGTGATAAATCGTATCGCTATCTTTGCGGGAGCTAAACCCTTCAATTATTCAAATTTTGATATGGATGCAGAGCCTACTACCAGTAACAAAAAAAACGAAAAATATAATACAAATAACCAACGTTTGATAGCTGAAAGTGGTGGCCGTTGTATGAGCACACAAGCAATGCAATCGCTTTATGATTTCCGACAGAATAATCTACTTTGCGATGCAATATTAAGATTAGAAGATGGTGGTGTCTTTCCAATTCATCGAGCTATACTTTCGGCATGCAGTACTTATTTCAGGTTTAATTTTAATCAGGTTTAATTTTATTTCCTCTGAATTTTATATTAAATTATTCGAATTTATATACAAAATAATTGATTAATAATAATAAAATAATAAAATAATTACTCTTTATGAAAATAATAAAAAATGATAACATTTTAATAATTTGTTACTCGGATTTGTTATTACATTTTTTTGTAATAAAGTTATTAATATCATAAAATAACTATATACATTTACTGTCACAATCTTTATTAGTAAATTAATTTTACAGGACATTATTTACAACTACATTGCATTCTCGTGAAAAAACTGATGTCCTTCTGCCAGGTGTGACAAGTCCAATAATGAATCTTCTGCTGGAATATGCATATTTACGATCCATTGATGTGAGTCGTGAAAATGTATGTGAACTATTGACCACGGCGGATTATCTAAGCATTGTAGGTGTACTCGATTTATGCTGTGACTATCTAAGAGATAATTTAGCACCGGAAAATTGTATCGGAGTGATGAGATTCGCCCGTCAACATTTTTGCAAGAAGCTAGAAAATGATGCTTACCGTTTTATTGTAGGACATTTTGTCGAGGTGCGGCTAGTATAATAATTCACATATATCATTTCTTCATAATATAATTTCTCTTGCTTTACATTAGGTGTCACAAAGAAGCAAAGAAATTTTACATTTACCTATCGAGGAACTGAAATCGTTAGTCGGCGCTGACGAATTAAATGTTAAAAGCGAGCAAACAGTTTGGGAATTAGTTCTGAGATGGATAAATCACGATCCAGAATCTAGAAAAGATTATATCGTCGATCTAATGAAGAATATCAGACTCGGTCTCTTAGACACGCAGTTTTTTCTGGAGAATGTCAAGGATCATCCTTATGTCGTAGGCAACGATGCGTGCAGACCCATTATCATCGAAACTCTGAAGTTTTTATATGATTTAGAGATGATTACTCAGAAAGATGGAGAAGTACCAACGCCGGAAATTGCACGACCCAGAGTCCCGCATGAGATTCTGTTTGCCATTGGTGGATGGAGCGGTGGCTCTCCAACAAATTATATCGAAACGTATGATACAAGAGCAGATCGATGGATTCCGGTAGTATTAGACACTTGACAGTTTTTTCAACGTAATTTTAATAAATTGTAAATATTGATATAACTAGACTGGATTTTTGTTGTCATTTGTAATGCAACAAGGCAAAGAAAAGTAAGGTGTAAACATTTAAAAAATGTAGAAATGAATATAATGATTGTTGTTTATCCAGTCTGGAGCCTCCCAAACATGTGTTGCGATTGTGACACAATTTTTAAAGCAGCAAACATTTGCGACCTATCTAGTTTTAACAAATATGAAAAGGCGAGGTAAATTAATTAATTATTTATATTGTCTTATTTATATATCGCGCGACTCATCAAAAATAGCGGGACGTGATATATTTTGGGAATCTTTAATCTAATCCTTAAAAAAGAAATTAATTGTAACTTCGTATTATTCTTGAACGTGTACGCTGTACTAAAATTAAAGAACATTTTTACTTTATTTCAATAAAATTTTAACAATTTATTTATGTAAAATCTTGAGTTTTTTAGATCGAAGAAACAGATCCGACTGGTGCGCGAGCTTATCATGGACTTGCGGTAGTTGGTTTTGATATCTACGTTATCGGAGGATTTGATGGCGTCGATTATTTCAATAGCTGCCGTTGCTTTAATGCGGTGACCAAGGTGTGGCGAGAGGTTGCTCCCATGAACGCTAGAAGGTCAAATATATTTCGAAGGGGCTAGTCACTACCTCTGTGATTTGGATAATTTTAATTGATTTATTTATGATAAAGACAGTTAAAGAAACAGTATTGAAACATAAAATGTGCGTTTACAGCTGTCTTTAAATAGATATTTTCAAATTATTTTTAAATTATATAGTTACACTAATAAGGTACGTACACAATAGACAAAAGAAAATTACATAAAAACATAAATAAAACTGTATGCAAACATTAAATAAATATGAACTAAAATTTAGTGACTAGCTCCTTGATAATGTCGTTAGCAATGAAAGCTCGCATCAGAATCTTTTCATTGTCGCAGATGTTATGTCAGCGTGGCAGTTTTAAACAATCTGGTTTACGCAATGGGAGGATATGATGGATACCATCGGCAAAAAACGGCGGAACGCTATAATTACAAGACAAATCAATGGTCCCTTATTGCATCAATGAACGTGCAGAGATCTGACGCGAGTGCAACGACATTAAATGGTATTATTTGATTTTTTATAAACTGTTCTGATATGTTTATTTTAGTTATTTAAAAAGTAATGTTTGCAACTGCATAATTAATCTCTCTATTTTATACGAGATAGATTTTTTAAAATGTCTTGTGATAATAAAATGTATCTTGTAAACTTTTTGAATGTTTTAATAAAATGTAAAAATTTCATTCCTGTGCATAAAAACAAAATAAATGTAGGTACAAGTAATTTTGAAATATATATACATTAAAAAAGGAAAAAGAATACATATTATAATAAAATTATTTATTGAAAATTAGAAATAAGTATAAATATATATGTACGTGTCATAAATTTTTAAAATTTTGAATGCTTGAAAAACCATTATTTCTATATCATATAAAAAATATTATAAAGCTTATTGGTAAATTTTTTATATGCTACAGATAAGATATATATTACGGGCGGTTTTGATGGACATGATTGTATGAATACGGCCGAAGTGTATGATCCAAGCACCAACCAGTGGACAATGATAACAGCAATGAGGTCACGAAGGAGTGGTGTGTCGTGCATATCTTATCACGGCTGTGTTTATGTTATTGGTATTAAAACTTGTTACAAGAGAAATTTCATTACGGCATTTGCGCTATTTATGTATAAACGCATTTATGCATAAGGAAATTAATTTTAAAGTATTCTTTCTCATGCAAAACTATTTTAATATATGCGTGTACATATATCTATATATATAGCTTAATTTATTTCATAATTATTCACTTCTCTTATAATTGTTTTTCTCATTGCAATATCATTTTACATTATTATTTTTATTAATTATGAGAAAGCTAACAATTTTTTTCATAAAGGAGGATTTAATGGAATATCGAGAATGTGCAGTGGGGAAAAATATAAACCTTCTACAAACAGCTGGAGCCATATTCCTGATATGTATAATCCACGTAGCAATTTCGCCATTGAAGTTATTGACGATATGATTTTTGCTATCGGTGGTTTTAATGGTGTTACTACAACATACCAGGTGGAATGTTACGACGAGAAAACAAATGAGTGGTAATTATTCCATTGCATAAATCTTTTATTATTGAATTTTATAAAATTTATGTGACAGATTAATATGGAGCCAAAAATAGTTGCATATTTTGCAGCAACGATTTAATAAATTTTGTATAAAAATCTTACCTGAGTAAGAAGTTTACAAGTTTCATTTTTCAAGCATATGTTATATTTACAATACTTATATTAGTTTCTAAAACTGTAAACATAGGTACGAAGCGACAGACATGAATATATGCAGATCAGCACTGTCGGCCTGTGTGATTATGGGTCTTCCAAATGTATACGATTATATTCACAAGCACCGTGAGCGCCTGATGGAAGAAAAGCGTCAGAAGTTACTGGCACACGAAGTACGTCGGAGTCAGCATCAGCAACAGCAACAGGAGCAACAGCAGACAAGGCAAACTTCTCAATTCGGCCAAATCATACCGATACCACCACCTCTACCACGCTAATAAATGAGAAAGATAATAATAATAATCGGCAGCTAAAACCAAATATCATTATTATGTAAATCAGCCAAATGTATAACATCTGTTCCATTTCATTGCGATACAAATTTTGGATTATTGCTAAATGAGATGCAATCAGAAAAATGAAGGTTAACTGATCAATTGTCAATAACACAGAAAACCGTTTATATATTTGGCAATGATTATTTTTGACTACTTACAAAAAGAATATTTTATTATATTTATATAATTTTCAGACTGCCATTTACCCCTCTTTGTTAAGTTAAATCTTTTTTGATACTGCAGATATTTCTATTGAATCTTTTTGCGATTTTACACGTACGCTATATAGTGCTATTTCAAATAATTAAATTGATTAAGATTAACGACGAAATAAGTTATTCATTTTTCGTTTTGGAGATTAATGGTATTGATTTAATTATTGCAATATAAAGCTCAGAATGGTAATACAAATTAGAATAATTGTTCATATAAAAAGGGCACAGCAATTGATAAAATAAATCATGAAATGCGAAAAGTAAAAATAAAATTTTATGAGATAATAACTTTGTGATAAATATAAGAAATTACTCTTGTAAGAGACATTCATTTGGCATTTTTTTAAGATGACATTATATAAGCAATTGTGTGCAGCAATACCGCATGTAACAGAAAATAAATAATTGTAACATATACGAAAGTGCAGTTGTTTACATTTATTTATGACATTTACTTATCATGTAAGTGAAAGTCTACTGCATAACTTATATAATTGCTTTTTAACAAGTACTGTAAACAGATTAATCTGTAAGATGACAATGTTCTTTTATTTATTTTTGTAAAATTTAAATAACTATAAAATGGTATATATTTTCTTATAACCATTTAAAAATTGCTAAAATATCAAATATTGCAAAATTGTAAAATATAAAACCGCGATGTAATACATATGTTGTATACATATATATCATATATAAAATGCTTATTGTCCTAAATTAGTTTTGTTTTGTTGAGTTATAATAATTTAAACAAAAAATTTTATAAGATATGTAAGTACATTAGCGATAAATCTCAGAAATGACAGATATATTTTTAAGATATTAAAAAATTTCAATATTTGGATTAAACATATATATATAAACAAACTAATTTATTATTGTAAAATTTATTGTTTGTAAAATAGTTAAAAAAGTTACAATTATGATATTATAATTTTTGGGAATGGTTAATCTTTCAATATTTTTACAATCTTTAACAGCTAGGAAAGTAAATTAATAGATATACTAATTATAAGTAATAATTGTATTATTATTAAATCAAATTTTTTAATATTTAAATCGACTCTCAAATAATTTATATACATATAATGCACAAAATTTATTTAATTAAAATCATATAAGAAAATAGTATATTGGGCTGTGTTTAGCAAAATATTTATTTTGCAATCGTCGGTGCTGAATATTTCAGATAATGACCGTATCTTTTGTAACTACATATTGGCATTGTTGGCAAGGAAAATTGGAGTAACATAGGATGGAAAGTGTTGATAGTAGTGGTTCTTTGATCCGCACGCCCTCTGAAGAAACGGATCTAAACCTAAGAGTAAAATTCATTTAATAGCCTATTTCAGGTTTCAGGCCACCTGATATCATCAGTTTAGTCTGCGCATGACGCGTGTCTACAGAGTAATGAGAAAAACCGTTCGTGTTGAGAGATGAATTATAATTTGTGAGTCATCGAATATACGCGTTGTATTAAAGCAGATGACACACTGACATGTTCTAGACACGCACTGTTTATAAATAATCAAATTTTTTATTTAACGATGGATATCATGTCAGTCATGTGCGAAATAGTAGTTGGTAACCTTCGCCACGCCGCACCGGTTGTTCCGTTCCTGAGTTAGCCAACGTGTATCGATGTATATGATAAAACGTGTGCATTTGTAAGCGGGGACGTGTAATCGCTAAGTGACTGTGTATTCAAAGTCGGAGAACCGAAGGACTCCCGACTCCGGGTGAATTGGTGCTCCGAAACGCGCTTGTCGACGCAATGGTGAGCTGAGGTGAGCTGAGGTGACACAGGGGGCAATGGCGAAAGTCGTGAGAGGGTCCGATTCGGTGCCCACGGTCTTGTTGTGCGAACATTGTACTAATCAGACGTTCAAACAAATTCAAGACTTCGTTCGGTGAGTCCATCTGCTTCATCGATCAATTACGATGCTTCGGTTTTGTTCAACGATTTTATTTCAAGACAACATTTTTTTCATAATTTATTAGCGGTTTGGAGACACAGTTTAAAATGACACGAGCATCTATGTTCTTTCTCTCAATAATGATATATTATATGAATCAGAAAAACAATATTTGTAAAGCATTTTTGATGACGTATGCTATTTTGATAAGTGTAGTTTTTAATGTTTTTATAACTATATGACAGTGCGTTATTTTATAATTTGTTTTAGGCATTTGAGAGATCAACATTGTTCCAGAGAAGGTGGATCTTTTGTTTGTCTCTATGGCTATAATGGGGTATGTACTAGTCTTCCTGTGGAAGGTGTTTCTGACAAGGATTATATAGCGCATGCCATGAAGCACGCAATTATGCAACAGCAACGAAAAAGCAATGGCGAGTTATCTGAGGCAAGCTCATCGTGGACCGTGTATTCTGCTGTACAAAATCTACCTGCTGTTCTAAACGATCCATTTAAAGGAAAACAGAGTAACTTTTTAACTCGTACTTGGGGAGATGGATTTATAGAGAAAATTGATATTCCAAAAAGTCCATATCTTCCTGAAGTCACCATGCAACATTTTGAAATGTATCTGAAAAAAATTGCGAGGGTAATTATTTATGCACTACAACAGTATTTAATAAATACTACCTGTAATAATTTACATCATGCTTACTATTTATACTTTCTATTTGTTCTTTCAGAGATATCGAAAACATTCACGTATGAATTTGAATGCCAACAAACCAACCACTCCAAATGAATTGCTCCAAAATTTTCCTAATCTTAAGAAAGTGAAGTCATTGGGTAAAATTCTCTAATATTTATATCATGAAAGATATCGAAAAATAGAATTTAGTAATAGGAATATATACATCTTGAAATAAATGTAAAAGAATAATTTACTTTTGCAAAAAATGGATTTAGATTCTATTTCATGTGTCATATTTTACTCTTTATAGATAAATATTTTTATAATTAAAGGATTAATGTATTTTTAATACATATCTTATTACATATTATTACATATTACATTTTAAATTAATCTATTTAAATTTAATTAGATATTAATTAGATATGTTTTACATGCAAATCATATGTTATACATTTATACATAAATTTAATTTATCAGCTCTTTAAGCTTTAATACTAAATAACTTTATATTGGATTTTTATTGATATAATAATAGCCATGTAAACTTATAACTGATATTTCTAATTTTTATTTAGTTATAAAATATAACTTTTTATCATTCAAAATTGCAACATTTTTTGCTTCAGATCGGCTACAGTTTGATTTAACTAATATTCCAAAGATCTTCTTAGTTCCAAACTTAGATCTTTCACAAAAAGATAACTTTGATGCTGTGTTCCCGTTTGCGAAAGATGGCCTCTTAACTGAAGAATGCAATATTGTTATGCACGTGAAGCAGATGCAAGAGAAGGTATTATAAACATAAGAAAAAAAAACAGATTCAGTTTATAAAGCTCATTATTGACATTGTATTTCTTAATTTAAATGTTTATTATATTATAAAAATAATTACACAATACACAAATACGTATAAAAATGAAGTTTTTGATGTTTTATTATCTGTTTTTAATTTATACAAAATATGTTTCTGCAGCTTAGTCACTATCTGGATGTTGTGGAAGTCCGAATAGCAGAGCAGGTTGCATCAAAATCTCAAGCCTTTTTCCATGCAATGACATCTCATGATGTGCTTATGGAACAACTCACACAAACTATTACGGTTCTAAAAGCACTTAGGAAAAATATTCACCAAGTCGATAAGCATCTAGTCAAGAATTCTTTAGAAATTTTACGGTGAGTTTGTATACATGTAACGTATGAACTATTTAACAAATTTACTATATTAGTATTTCTTAAAGAAACATAAAATTAAGTGAAATAGAAATATAAATTAATAACACAAGAAAGGAATGCTTTTGCTAAAGTAAACAAATTTTATTATAAATACAGATCTGAAAATAATGTGGGGTTATTAAAATAATTATGTAATTATATATTTAGTTTTATACATTTAACTTGATATTTATTGTTTTTATGTAGCTTGGAGCGCGCCAGATCTAATAGATTATTGGTCCAAGAAAAATTAAAACTTATGGCAACTGTGCATCAAAGTCAACCGATGATACAATTATTGTTATCTACGCCAGATTATGTTGCGGCATTAGACCTTATTTCTACAACGCAAGAAATTCTCTTGCAGGAACTGAACGGAATACATAGCTTTAGGTAAATAGAAATTCTGAAGAAATTTTTATAATTAATGATTATTATTTATGTATGATTTTATTGATAAAAAATTATTGAAATATTTACAACTGTTATAAACATTATCTAGACATTTAAGTTCTCAACTAACCGAAATGGAGAAGCTTGTGGATAAGATGCTGTCGACTGAGTTTCAAAGATATGCAACAGCGGATCTTAATAGGCCATTAGGTGGCGAGAATACCGTTTTAGATGGCGTAAGTACATAAACAATGTTACATCGCATTATATTCTTTGTCTTTAGCAAACAAACCTCTGTACATCTCTTCCCAATGAGATTGTTTATACATTCTTAATGAACAGGATAAACTAGTCTCCATCATTTCTGGTCTACTACGTCAGAAACATTTTCAATTCGTGGATACATACAAAGAAGAAGCTGTGACTACTGTAAGAGCCTTAACAAAGCAACGGGTGATAGAAGCTTTGGCAGCGAGTGATTGTTGCAGTGATCAGCAAGCAGCAGCTCTCGAAGTCGGAGGTCTCTCATTGACGGAAAGATTATCTTTGCTCCACAATACTATACAGTCTTTCACATTTCTTCTATTACGAGTTAAGGTAAATAATTTAATAAACCTATCTATGTATATATATATATATATATATATATATACATATATATATGTATATACATATATATATGTATATACACACTTATGCTCTCCTTTATTATCTTCTGCTTTATATTATTTATTGTGAATTTTTAATTTTTAATATTAAATGTCTTGTGTAACTGAGCATTAAAATTGATATTAAGATTTTTTAATTGTGTCGCTGTGGAATAAATGAAACGTGTGTATTATACATATAGAAACCTGTGTATTATATATAATAATTAAATGTTCTTTTATATTAGGCAGTTCATGATGTAATGAAAGACACCGCGGATTTATCAGCAGGACGTTTATGCGATGGCTCGTTTGATGAATCCGTACCTGATCGTTTATTGACTCGAGAAGAGCATTCGCGAGTGATTACTAAACTCTGTGACATGATTACTTCTGTGTGTGATTACTGCCACGAGCGAATGGGAAATCTACTTTCAGCTGGGGCAAGTGAGAGGGATAAATTCCACAACGATAAGGACAAGATAATTGCTGATGTTTCACAGAATAAATTAGAGGATAAAGACCATCATACTTGGAATGATAAGAACTCT